TTTAACATGAACATCCACCACTTTAACAGCATAAATAATGACAAAAATCACCTAGACAGAAAGTGAAAATCATAGCAAATTTGCACATTTCAAATGATTTTGATTTTTAATTCCCCACTTCCTCCTTTTAATAATGAAAATAACTTGCTTGGTACCTTAATGGCACCAATGTTGCCTCACTGCACAGGCTGCACTTCCAGGCTGGGGACCTTTATGACTCTGCACATTCTCCCTGTGCATGCATGAATTTTCTCCAGGTTCTCATTCTTCCTCCCAGAGACATGTGTGTTGGTTAGGTCAGTTGGCTGCTTTATACTGGCCTTAGGAGTGAATGGTTGTCTGTTTCTCTTTGCAAGCCCTGCAGCACACTGGCAACCGGTCATAGGCCTCTCACGCTATGCCAGCTGTCACAGTGTCTTCCTTTCTTGTGGCATTTAGTGAAGCAGACGTTCTTACTTTGCTGCTCTGACAAAAATGGTAATAACATAAAAATAATTTAAAAAAAAAAAAGCAAAAATGTGAAAAATAAGCAAAATTTGCCACGTTCTCTTCTTGATTATAATAAAACTTTAATAGCTGGGAGTGTTTTCATAAAACTTTGAGATTATTTTGGCATTGTTTTCATTGGGATGAAGAATTAGAAATCTGTATGTTGATGCTCTGTCTCTAGAGCAAAATAAAGTGGAACTTGGGAAAAGCAATGAAACACTGAAAAAAGAGATGCAAACAAGGGATGCACCTGTTTCCTGTAAGACCCAGACTCATATCCTGTTTTCCTTCTCTCTGCAGCTGAAAGAAAAGCTTTTTGGTGACCAGTAAGAGCTGGATGGAGGCGGAGGAGGGACTTTGGGCAATGATGTGGAATTAGTTGTAACAGTTGCAATAAGGTGTTAAAAAGAGTGCTCTTTCATTCAAACAGGAGACTTCCAGTTTGAAGTGAGCCAGCACTGTTATTGGTTATATGGCTCTTTGTTACTTTGTCCCTGCATTCCCAAAAAACAATGGTCTACGACCCTGTTTTGTGAATGGACCTGTTGGCCCATCCTTAGTAATTTCAACATCTATTGGTGAGATTCCCACAAGATGCTGCATATACGCCCATGGAAACAGATTGCATTTAACAGGGTTGTAGAAACACTAAGCTACTGTTACTAATAAGATCACAATACTAACTTTATTTATGTTGACTCTTTATAAAAAGCAAAATAACAGATTGCAATATTGAAGCACAAAGCCAGAAATTACAGATTAAATTAAAGTTAAGGTAGAAACAAAACTTCTTAATTTCAGCTTCTCCCTTTAGGGGTCGCCATTCTGGACCATCTGCCTCTATCTCAATCTAGCGCTACGATCCTCCTCTCTCATACCAACCCTTACACATCCTCCTTCATTGCATCCATTAACCTGCTTTGGATTTTCCCGTTTTTTGTCTGACCTGGCAGCTCCATACTTAACATCATTTGCCCAATCAGCTATTCCTCTTCTGCACATGTGCAAACCATCCCAGCCTCACTTACTTTGTCTCCAAAGCATTCAACCTGAACTTTCCTTCTGATGTGCTCATTTCTAATCTCCCTCCTGATCACTCCCATCTTAACATCTTCAGCTCCACTCCTGTCTTTGTGTTAGTACCACTGTCTCCAAACCCTACCTCATACCAGCCTCACTACCACCTCTTCTGTTACAAATCACCCAACACTCTTCATCACCGCTTGCGTGCACTGTCTGTTGCTTTGGCTGGTCGATCCCAGGTATTTTAAATTTACCTTGTCCATCACCACTCCAAACAAGAAGATGCTCAGAGCCGATCCCTGATGTACTTCCACCCCGACCTTGAATCCATCTGTCACTCCTACTGCATGCCTCAACACTTGTGCGTTTTCTTCCTACAGGTCCGTCCTTACAGACTTCTCTGTCAGTCTTGACTTCCTCATGCAGCACCGCAGTTCCTCTCTTGGGACTCTACCCCTATCTCTCCAAAGTTACTGCAGCTCTGCACGTCACCCTTGAACTTGAAATTCTCTATTCTTCAGGAATCCTCTGACCAAAATTATGTTAATCAATCTGTTTAAAAGAAGCCATCTCTCCTAAAGATCTTCATATTTCACAGACATGCCATCTGAACCACCTTTCCACTCTTCATAGTGTAATATGTGAAATCTGCACTTCCTGACTCACTTTCCTCCATCCATCCTCCTCTCTTTCTCATTTTCATCATTCATTAGCTCCTCAGAGTACTCCTTCCATCTTCTCAGCACACTCTCTTCACTTGTTAGTACATTATGATCTCTATCCGAAACCACCCTAACTCAGTACACATCCTTCCCAGCTCAGTGTCTGTGCTGCCTCGTCCTTTCCTCAGTGCCCAGCCTCACATGCAATGCCCATAAGCCTTTATCCTTTGGCACCCTCTCTCTTTGCCGTACACCTACCCTCTCAGCATTCCTGCCAACTTTCTTCATCTCCTTGACTATCCCACTTTTCTTTGCTAACGTCTTCCTTTAAATATGTTCCTGTTCTTTGTCAGTGCATAGAAAGTCACAAATCATCAGCATAATGAATGAAATAATAAAGAGCAAAAATTGTGAGGCTGTGAGGACAGCAGTCCACCTCTCTTAAGCTAAACAGGCATCCTAGTCAGAAAAACGCACCCATTTGATTTTTTTAAGGCTTTAAGTTGGGATCGTCAGGTATAATATTCCAGTCACATATTCTACTTTATGTTTGTGCTGTTGTGGTGATGCAAAAACATCCTTATAATAATGAATCTAATTGACTAATATGAAACATTAACCAAATATAGCAGCAGCGTGTCCTTTCTGTGTCTCTTGGGTAAAGTTTAGTTGATAATAAAACACCTTTTCTTTTCTTGTTTAAGAGCATGCAGCACGTTTATGATAAAGATAATGACATCAACAGGAAGTGAGCCAAGACTTATATGTTCAGATAATCTGACCTTGAGAACGAATAAAAGGTAGTACCCACAGAATGGTTAAGACATGATCTTTCTGAGATGAAGTTGCTGAGCTGCTTGGGTGTTACTAAATCGTTTCGTCCAGCACAAACTTTGACTGATTGGTTTAAATGAGCTAATGCTCTGGTACAGGCACAGAACCACATAAACACACATGCACACATTAAAAAACTTCTCCCTGGAGGATGAGTCACAGGGAGGAAGAGAGTGCAGTACTGCAGCCTATACGCCCAAAGTCAAAATGAAGTAACTACAGAGCCTGCTAATAGTGTGAAAGATACAGTACTGTGCAAATGTCTCGAGCCACCCTTTGTTTCTGCATATTTTGTTCCCAATGGGCCAGATTTTCCTGTAATGTGTAAAAGTGTTCTTAAGTTAAGCATTCAGGAAATACTTTTTTAAATCCACTGAACACCGATCTGTAAATCATTCAACCATCAAAAGGCTCCTAGCTCAGTCTCTTGATGTGTGGAAACCAGTGTGGTTTCCAGTGTGTAGAAATCAGTGTGTGTAGAAACCAGTGTGGTTACTACACATAACAGACAACTTAGCAAAGAACCAATTTTAAATTGTATCTTTAGGCATTTTGTTACTAGCAGTGTATCTCAGAAAACATCATTTGTTGCCTTTTATTTAGTTAAATCTATGAAAAATGCCCAAAATAACAACAGTGTTTCTGCACTTGTATCATTAAAAGTTTTAAGGAACCCGGACAAGTGCACAAGGGTTATCTGAAAATGTTGTCCTTAAAAAAAATGGGGATAACAGACATCAGAGACAGAGGTAATCAGAGGTCAATTGATCCAATTCATCTACTGTTTACTGAAGCCTGATCAGGAATTCTCTCAATGCTGTCAAGAAGCCAAACTATCTATATAATTGGTTTAAAAAGTTGTCATACTAAATATTGACTTTCAAACTTAGATTTATACAGACTCTATTTTTGCCTTATAATCTGTATTTCCATGTATGTTTGCAGATGTATCAATAAATCGCTGCTCCAATTTCCCATTATCTTATCAACAAATAAAAAAATGGGGGGTGTTTCATGAATTTTGCAATTAACAGTGAGAACTTGGTGACATATTAAAAGGCTTGAAAGTGAAGTTGGCCATTCTAAACCACTCTGCTCACAGTCTGCTGGCTGTCCATGTTGTACGCACACTGAATAAAAACATCTGCTGTTTGTGCAAAGCCCTGAATGGCCAAAAGGGGAGAGACACAGAGGAGCTTGGACTGCTACAAAAACATCGGTCAAGCCAACCAGCAACACACACACTGCTTCTCCTCCAAGCACCAAAGCTTAAAGGACGTGTAATAAAACATGAAATGCTTGTCACCTTTTTATTTCCAAGAGTAAATGTTAATGAGAAACTGGTTTTTGCACCACCAGGAATGCTTCCTAACACACAAAGAAAAATTCTTCTGTCCTAATCTTGAGGATTAGGGCTGTGACAACTCCAAGACAGGGAGAGAATCATCCTTCAGCCAGTTCGAGCTGTGTTGGCCATTTGCTCTGTCTAAATATTCTGATGATAGGATCGGTTAACCATTAATTCTTTTGAACCTCATGATTAACATTATCTCATTTTCTCACACTTAGTTCCTTCTGGTATTTCACATGCTAGGATTGCACATTTATGATCTCTGGTTACTTGCAGCCCTCCATTAGCTCGGTTGTTGTGAACTCCTTTGAAGTGCTTTCACACAGGAGATCATTAGCTCATTGGTTATTAACCCTATGATATAAAGTGTCTTAAGATAAATATTGTTGTGAGTTGGGGTTATGGCTTCGTGAAAAAGTCACAAAACATTAAAAAACAACAGGTTGCTTCAGAAAAAGTCTGAATACTTTAAAAAAAACAGGTTTTAGTTTTCATTTCTTAGGAAATCATCACACACATGTTATGGTTAAAGCAGACACACATAGTTAAAACTGTAAAAAATATTTATTATCCATTATGCCACAACACAAAAGACTGATTCTGCCACATACACTCACACAATAGCACAAACTCTTTTTGTTTTTTAAGTTCCTGCGTGCAACAAAAGACAGACTGATTCTGCTTTCTAACAAATATCAAAGCAGTTTTAAAATTGAATGTGCAGCATGGGTGCTGGTTGTACTGATGTTGCGAGGATGCTGCCTGGTCCTAATGTGTGAATGTGTTTCAGATCACCAAAACAGGTTTTCTGGACGATGATGGGGCAGCACTTACTGCTAACTGTAAACCTGAGTTAACACACGAGAGGCAACAGCAGAAAGAAGTTCAAAGAAGAACAAGGAAAAAGAAGATTGTGGGCAGGCTGCATAAGGAGGTTGAAGCACTACCATCATGACATGTGAGGTTTTCCCACTGGGACTGGGACAGTTGTCAGAACCTGGTTCTGGAAAACAAATCTCTGGATGCGTTCAAAGACCCAGAGGAAGATGAGGAGGATGCTGACATATTGAATCCAGGCAAATTTGATGGTTTCCCAGAAGCCGGGGCGATAGGTGGAGGGAGAAGTCAAGGCAGAAACAATGACAAAAATTAGACACCACACCCCAAAATCAGGGGTGTCAAACATTAGAATCAGAATCAGCCCAACAAAGACTCCAGTCTGGGCCTCTGGACTGCTTTGGCAGATGTGAATGCAACGGCACACATTTTTAATTTTTAACTGTATTTTGGCACGGTTTACAGCTTCTGCTACTACTAATGACCTTTTTTAAGGTCATTCACACTACACCAAATGAATTAAATAAAATACACAAACAATTAAATGACAGAGGTTTTTTTTTCAGGATAATTACATGTTAGAACAATGAACTACCAGAACTTTTTCTTTTAACTTTTACACATCTGTTTCTCTACTGTGCAGAAAAATGATGTAAATGTAATGTTGTATTTGCACTTCTTATTCTTATATTAAGACATCTCCAGGATTAAATGTGCAGTTAAACCTCTGTACAGTGACAGAAAGGGGAGTCTAACACCTCTGGCCCACTTAACGTTGGAGCGTGGGCTGAGCGTGGGTTGGAGAGGGGCCGATGGCACGATATGGCAGCCTCGCTTCTGTCAGTCTGCCCCAGGGCAGCTGTGGCTACAACTGTAGCTGCCTCCACCAGTGTGTGAATGTGAGAGTGAATGAATAGTGGTATTGTAAAGCGCTTTGGGTGCCTTGAAAAGCGCTATATAAAATCCAATCCATTATTATGTGGCCCACTGTATAATGTGACTGTATTATGTTACTATGCTGTTTCTTGTTTTATTGCTGCTGGCCTCTGTGAGCTACCAAACAGATTTTGTTGTATAACTACAATGACAAAAAAGTTCTTCAAGTCTTTAAGTCACTTAAGTCACTTTAATGATTTTAACATCCCTGCTCTAAATTTTCTGTACTCGTGTTTTACAAGTTTCTTAATTTTACCTGACTTTTCTTTCACCCAAAACTTCATAGCAAAGTTTAGCATGTGAATAAGTAAAGCACTGAATGGGACAAAGAAAACGACATCCCAGTCTCCTGACATAAAATGTTAATATCATGCAAACGGAGCTGAATTACCAGCTAAATTAAAGCACTTAGTTAATTAAGCTACTGCATGTTATTCTAACTCACCACATTCATTTTACTTACTTTTTCTGATGCAGTGATTTTGCAGAATTATTTTACAGTGCTTTGAACAACAAAGCTATGTGACGCCTGATTGAGTAAAGATGAAATAATATTTGATTTTTCAGAGAATAAACATTCAGAGGTTTGCTGCTACAGCCTCCCTTTACCTTCCTAGTTTTATGCATGCACAGTACTGCTGTGGAAAACATGTCCAATAAAAGCCTACTTACATGAGATAAAATTTATCATAAACCTCTTTTTTATTATGAAATGTTTCTGGGCTTCTGGAGACATACTGACAGAAAGTTTACTTAAATTATTTATAATCATTTTTTACATTACGAGGTTTCACAAATGTCCAAATGAAGGATCACCCCAAATGAGTTCAAGGTTTTTATAGAGGTAGTGTTTGAGATCTCTCTTTATCGCTTCATGAATCAGAAAATACACAATGAAATCCATATTCTATAGCCAAAAAGGCCATACAAAGCATCACGATACAGGCAGGAATAAAACAGGAAACTCTGGTGTATGCAAATGACGTAGAAGAGTATGTCAGAGTGTAAGAAAATGACTGTTAAAGTTTTGTATTGGGAAATGACAGTAATTTACATACATGTGCATTACCAGAGGTGTAAAACAAGCACCTCAGTGTTTGTTCTGGACATTTCCTTTGTATTACCATCTCAAAAGCATGTCAGAGGACTGACAAGACTATATAAAATACCTCGGAAGCTCAAAATTGAACAGTCCATGAAAAAAACATGCTTTGTCTGCAGCGTCCCACCTTAAATAAACCTTATCCATAGAAAGTATTCAAAGATATATTTATTTGAAGGTTACTCTATGTGAAAACAAACATGTCCATTTTAATGTATTTATCAAAAGGATATCTGATGACCTCCACAGGGTAGCGGATTTCAGCTTTAAACTCAAAGGGAGCAGCAGCAGCTCGTCCTATAGTCCACACGGGGATTGGGCAGGACAGCACTGTGGTCACTGTGGCAGGAAAAAAAAAATACACACTTGCAAAATTTGACTAAATTTACATTAAACCAAACAAGAGCAGCGCCTTTGTCAACTCACAGTTTCTGTTCTGGTAGCTCCTGATTATATTCTCGAGGTCATACGCGCTCGCAAAAGGGCTGGAGCCATCGATCACCGACACCTTAGCATCAACGCGGAGGAAGAGAAAACAGCACATTAACGTATAATCATCCCCCATAGCATGTATTAACACTGACACAGCAAAGATGCATGGTGTACTGCAAATATATTTTTATACGGGGTTATTGCGATGGCTAAAATCACTAGCTGAATTACTCTGATATTGAAGTAAACTTTAGATTAATACTTCAGGAGTATTTTATGCAGATTTGTTTTGTTTTATGTGGAGTTACATTTGCTGTGGATGTCTAAGTCACACATATTCTAAAAAATGACACCATATGGATACAAATTTGGGCAGGTGCCTCTCTGACACCATCATGCATACACCCAGTTTAAAAGCGCGTTTAGTGGGCTGTTACAGTGGTAGTGAGTGCTTAACAAATACACGCCTTTACAGAAGACAGAAAAGATAAGAAGCTACTGTTCTGCTGTGAATGACCCTTCTTGTAAAGCAAGACACTTGGGATGTGGTTGGTGTGTTTAATTTAACATTAGCAAACATTGTTAGCAAACCAAACACATGCATACTACAATGACGCTAACCACTGAAGCACGAAGCTTTTGGATATCAGATCTTAAAAGTGCCTTTCTGCTCCGCTCCAGGCTCAGAATGTGGTAGCAAAGCACTCATCTACTCTAAAGGGTGTAGCGAGAGAAAAAGGTGGTGATCCCGTGTCCTCTTACATTATAAATATTGTAGAGCCCCCTGTGAGGCAAAGGCGTTCTCTGCTGCAGCCTCAGGTCTCCGCTGATGAACAGCTTAGCTCCGGGGACAGAAGAGGAGTGCTGCATGTATGCCAGACTCTGCATCACCACGGTGGACATCCGCTGGGAAAACAACAACAACAAATATTACGCTCTGCTTTAGCTGAACCACCAGCCGTAGACGGTCCTGAAGGCCCTACTTTGGTGCTGTCACACTGAAGGCCACATTTTATTATTTACAGCACTTTGAAATACCTGTTATTAAACAGGTAATATTTATTACCTGTCTGAAAAAATGTGTTTACACATGTAATAATTGGGGCCCAAACACTAAAAGTGTGAAGGTTATTGTATCTGCTTTGTTGTTTATCAATATTCAGGCAAATGAATCGCCTATTTGAGGCTCAAAAACTCGTGAAATTGTGCATACGCCTCAGTTCTGCTGAAAATTTACATAAAATCTACATATTTTACCGATTTAGCGTTTCAAAATGGCTCTAGAGCGCCACCGATGCTGATTATTAAGAAGTACTACAGACACATAGCTGAGCAAATGAGTCAAATTTGGTAAACATGTATAACATGAGACAAACAAAAAGTCTCGGGGCCCATTGACCTAAACCTAACAGGAAGTCAGCCATTTTTAATTTAAAGTGGAATTTTGCGGCAATTTCGTCCATTTTCAGGCCTCGTACGTTAGCTAACTCCTCCTAGGGTTTTTATCAGATCTACATGAGCTTTGGTGAGTACAATCTAAAGGCTTCAGTGATGTTAAATTGCAAAGCTTTTGAATTTTCACGAAAAGGCGTGGTCCTGGCGGCACGCTAATTTTCACTCATTCGCCACAGGACACGACATTGTCAAATCTCAGCTAAACATCGTCCAGTATGTCCCAAACTTCACAGCCTCGATGCGAGTCTAGAGACATCTGTGTGCCAATATTAGGTCACACTTATGGCGCCACCTAGTGGAGACAGGAAATACACAGTAGGTTATTTCCCGTCTTCACTTGTGGTTCAACGTCTGATATGCTTCAGAGATCTTTAGATGGTATTCTCCATCGCCACCTAGTGGGCATAGGTGTCCAGCATGGACACCTATGCCCGCAGCGCACCTGGATATACGCCAGGGTGCGGGGGCCCTCTCGTCGCTGCTTGCAGCTTTAATTCTATTTTTAGCAGGCAGAGTGAGAGAAATATTGACATTTAAAACTGCTTAAAAGGCTTTTAAAAAAATCCCCAAAGCTACTAAAACTGATAAAAATCACGTGGTGATCTGTGCCTCTTAGCTCCAGCCCCACCATTACCTCACAAGTTTTATCACGTTTCATAACATTAGTTTCGTAAGTGAAAGAAATAAACTTTTTATGGCTCCTTCTCAGGTTTAAAGTTAGTAGAAAGCCTTGTCTGATGAAAAGGTGTTTCCTACGGAGGAAAGGTCAAACCTAAACTATCTAAAGTCAGTAACGTGGACCTCTTGGCCATCTTATTGCTGTTGGTGCCTTTTTGGAGCATCTTTAGTGGTGAACCATGTTATTTATGGCCCAATGTGCAACCTTTAATTTGCACTAACTAGCTTAACAGATTCATGGAGTGTCTGTGCGAGTGGGTAATGCTGTGGGATACATACAAAGAGCTGGTAGCTGAAGGTGAGCAGCAGCTGAATGCTGTACACCTGCTCATTGGGTTTCAGAGGAAGCTGCAGCTGAAAGACCAGGAGGTCCAGTTTCCCATCCTGGTTCTGGTCCTCTTCTCTCACCTGCAAAGTGCAGTCACAGAAGAACAAAGCAGACTCTACTGTTATTAAAAGTAAAAAAAATCATATCTGTCCACTGTTCAGTACAAACATGATGTTTATTATGCAGGAACGGACACTTTTTTAAACCAGGGCTCGCTACTTAATACGTTTTCCAGCTTTTCAATGACAGTAAACTCAAACTGCTCACTGAGCAACTGGACTACGAGGAAAAATAACATAATTGACATTTCTAATGTATTACACACAGTGAAATCATTAATTATTGTATGAAATAAGAAAATTAAAGTAATTGCCATGTGAGGCCTTTCGGTACTTTTGTGATGGTACAATGCAGACTTACCTAATGTTTTTGTACATTTATTACAAGTTCGTATTGGAGCTGAAAAATATTAAACCAATACATAAATGCCAAAATCTGCAGCTATTCTATACTGACTGATTTTGTGAGGCAGTTTTGTATCAACGTGGGGACACCAAATATTGATATTGTATTAAATAAATTTAATAATCACTAAAAACAAGAACAAGAAGCTGCATCTCATGCACCACCATCCTGAGATAAACGAGCAAAATTTACATTTAACTGGCCCACCTGAAAAACATTGCTTCACTGGACATACTCGCCTTAACAAAGCTGCCTCCTAATTCAAAGCAAGCTAACGGGTCAGCCACATAAACGAAATTCAACAGCAACCTTGTGACATTGACAAAAACTCCCCACAGCACTAAATGGGAGTCTATGGAGACTCCCTTACTCTTTGAGAAGGCCCCAAAAGGGAATCAGGGGAACTGCATGTTCATTTCTCAGCCCCATAAGTTGCTGCTTGGGTCCTACTGATGAAAAACACTGATGCACTCACTAACAGCTACTTTGGTCACAAGCACCATTCACAAATACACAGAATGAGCATGAAAATGAAGCTTACACCACGGCCAAGTTTCTTACTTCTAAATTCTGATTTCAGCATAAACTCTAATCACCTGTCTAATCTCATCTAATCCAATCCAGTCATCTGCTCAAAAAACTCAACTGTGAACACAGTGCTTTAGTTCATTACTTAAATATCATGTCTTCTATTAAAACAGGATCGATTCTGCTGTAGTTTGTTACCAGAGAACATAAGCACCGTGCTGATTTGAGTGGCGTGTTGTGAACACATTCTTACAGTGACAGCAGGAATCCGGAGGTTGGCTCCTAGCATGTTGTTAAGTTGGGGGAAGGTGCTCCAGGCGACATATTCTCCCCTAGTACTGGTTGCTGCAACAAGCAGAGTCTGATACTGGAATCTCACAACTGGCTGTTCCTCATAAGTGCTCCTTTTTATCCAAAAACCTAAAATTAAAAACAAGTTTGAGAACAAGGAGCATGTATTTGTACCACTCAAACTGTTCAGTTTTCTACAACTACTTACTTGGTGTAATTACAGACATGTGCAAAATAAATCAGACTAGCACCCATTTGAAATAAATAAATAAATAAATGAATTGCTGGACCACTCCTTGGAGGTCAAGAGACTGGAGTTGAGATTTTTGTGTGGGGAAATCCCAGTAAATTCCGGTAAATCAGCAGTTTCTGAAAGACCCAAAACAGCTGGTCTGGCTCCAACAACCATGCTGTATTCAAAGTCAGTGAAAATAATACTAAAATACATTTCTTAAATTATCCTCATTTAGAAAACAGAAGCAGCTTGATGATGTCACTGAAGGCTTCTGTTTTCAACTCTGTTGTCATTTTACACATGGACACCACCAACCACTTGCTTATCAGTTGTAATAATAAACGTGAAAATAATTACTGCCAATCAAACAACCACGTACAATGCTTTCTATGTGTTTTCTGTTTAAAGCAGACATGAATTAAGCGTTTTAACATGTTTCACAGTCATACGAGAGCAATAAGAGAAACAGGGAGCCTGTGATTCCTGACAGAGATAAATGAAGTCTGATAGTGCAAAATGAATCTTAATAGGTGTATAAAAGCTTCAATCGGGAGTTTTATAAATGTAATTTAAAACTTCATGGCTTGTCCCATGCTTTGATACCTAGCAGACTTGGGAGAATAGAGGAAGTGCCACTGGATTTTGCCTTACCAGCAAAATCTATCTATGAAAATTCCATGGCGTGGCGCAACCCGGGTGTTTTTCCATGAGTGACGTGCAAACAAATATTTTGCTTCTATTAGCGTGGCATGTGTTGCTGTTAAAGGGTGTAGTTTTTAGAGCGCATGTAGAGTTTCTGGACCGTAAATGTACCTTGGCTCCTGTAAGCAACCAGCAGAGGCGGGATGTAGGTGAGGCACAGAACCACAACCAGGAACAGCGTGGCTTTCGTGCACACGCTCGTTTTGTACCGAATCAAAGCCGGGTGAGAGTACACCTCATAGAAAGCCATAAGTGTGCTGGAGGTATAAACAGCTCAGTCTTCCAGATAGCAAAGATGCTAAACCGACGGAAAGCCCTCGGAGGATCAGCGTGGGCAAACCGACAATAAAATGCTAAGCAACCACAAATTATCCCTTAGTCATCTAACCGCTTCCGTAATGAAGTGAGTCTAGTAGGGCACTGGTCAAAAACACAGCGAATTAACATGCTATTTATGTTAGCACCAAGTACCGCGCCATGTTCCTTCCTAGCTTAGCGTCTGGCGGTTACCATGGCTGCCAGTGTTCGCGTTTGTGCTGCATTCACGCGATACCAGCACGGTGAGGAGCACATACACACACACACACACACACACACAACGTGTACAGAAGCAGAAACGCATTACAGGCAGGGATTCTATATTTTTGTGGTTATTGTGCATTTATTTCTTGTAATTTTGACTTTTGAATAATTTCATCACCGTTTTCATCAGTTTGCTTCGCTTTGCGGCCCTTTTTGTGTCTGTTTCAAGTTGTTTGCGGGGTTTTTTTTCAATCTTTTTGAGGATAGGGGGGTCTCTGATTATTTTTTAGTTTCTCTTTGAGGAGGTTTTGTGTCTCTTACTTTGTGTCTTTTTGCATCTCGTCAATTTGCACCCGTTTCAGGCCACTTCCTGTATTTGCCTATGTTTTCAGTTGGGTATGTCTGCAAACACGTGTCTGTTGGGTTTTTTCTATCACTTTCTGTTCATTTTGCATTTTCCCTTTACATGCCAATCTAAATATTCTTTATTTTTCACTATGCAGTCACATAATGAAATTCTGTGTGGTAGTTTTCATCTTAAAATAAGATATTAATTGCTACATAATATATAATTGTACACAATAGAAAATAAATCATCATTAAAGATAATTTTGTGTTTGTTATTATTATTATTATTATTATTATTATTATTATGGATGGTTGGATGGGTTCATTATGCATTAACACCGATGCCAAATTCATTTTACATTGTGGCCCACATGCAGACCACTTTGATCTTAAGTGGGCCAGATGAGTGAAACTCTGCTTATTGTCATTGACCAGAGGTTTAACTGCACATTTACAGTCCAAATCGGTTTTTCTACATGATAACGTTTTTGTACTGTAGTTAGTGAAAAAGTAACACCAGCCTTAATGATTCTGGGCTTATGTTGTAAAAAAAAAAATACATGTGTAAAATTAGAGAAGCAATTCTGCTATCTCATTGCCCAGACTGTTCTGTAATTATATAACAGAAAGTTTTAGTTGTTAATTTTTTTTTTTAATTTTTTGTCTGTGGACTTTTTGCAAATCAATAAATTGCTCTAGTAGAGCATCATTTAATTGCTTATTTGTTACTTAATTACTTTGTTATGAATGGCTATGAGGTGGGAAAAGCTGTAAAAGGTATGAAAATACAGTTAAAAGTCCAATATTTGTCATCTTTCACATTTTCCAAAACCCCCCAATGTGCCTGATTACACTCTTTGCCCGGCCGAAGATGGCCCCCGGACCTTATGGTTGACACCCTTGCATTCGTAGCTGGACTGAGAGCACTTGAAGGCAGCACCAAAACCATCAGCACCTCCCCTGTGTCAGACAGTGACGTCACCTCCCTGATAGACGGACAGCTGAAAGCTCCTGGCTCAGCGGGGTTGTTGACGTTTTGTTTTGACCGCTTTTGTCTGGATTTTTGGACATTATCCGCAGATTCAGAAGCCCGCCTTTCGACCCTGCCGTCACGCGTCAGTGCGGGGATCCAGCAAAGATGAAATGGATGTTTAAAGAGGACCATTCCCTCGGTAAAGGGGTTTGGATTGTTATGAAACGAGAGATCTTGTCATGTCACGCACCCTCCGTTCTGTCTTTTTCTCCGCATCCATTGTTGCCATCTCATCCCATATAGGTGTAGAAATGTATTGCTTGCCTCAGCATATAAATCCATGATGGCTGATGCTGCATGGCTAGCAACTAATGCTAAGATTATTCTTGCAAGTGTTATGACCGCTGTCAAAATCCGGCTCACCTTTCATATCCCTGATGCATCCAATCAATCCTACCCCGAAATGTGTTTTTCCACTGCATGCATGTTCTTAACCAAAATGCATTTAAAAATCCCACAATTTAATGTTGCTTTGCCTATATGTAATCACTACTTAAAACCCTGTGGTAATAACATGATTAAGGGCTGTCAGGGACTGTTGTGGCAAATTCGGCTGTATGCAGTAGGGCTACAACTTTTTGTGTTGGTTCATGCTGCTGGGTAACCCCCTCCAGGGTCTATTTAACTAGGCCTTATAACTTAAATGGGTACTGAAGAGGGCTTCCTCAGTGATTCAGAGCTGGTAACACCTAACACAAACAGTGTAAGTGTTATTATGTTTATTAATAATGTGCCAGAATTTGGAACTGAGTTTGGTGTAAAGTTCTCTCCAAATTTAGATTGCTGGAACGGCTTTGCTCCTCAGCCTTTGTCTCCATACTCTCTTCAGATAATCTCGAAGTTCCTTTTTAAAGAAACACACAGCAAAAGTAGGCCTCTTAACTGGGCTAATGAAAGTGTGCACCTAAATGAAGCACACATCTTCTCACCCATCACCTCATCCTCTCTGACCTCTGTTCATTGTTTTCCCTGCTGCATGCAGTCTTTCCTCCAATAGATGCTCTTTCCTCCTCCTGATATAATAATCACTTAATAAAAGCTGCTGATGTGACTTACTACTGATCTGTGACAGTAATGCCTTTAAGTGTCCACTTTAACACACATGATCACACTGTGAGTTGATGTTAGAAGGCATCCACCGCTCTGTCTGCGTAAACTGCAGTCAACCTTAATGCTGTGCTTGAATGTGCATTTGAGCCGATATATCTGACTAGCCTTGGCTTGAAAGGCCAGAGGAATCCCAAGAGGCCTCGCTCAGCCCTTTAATCTCTGACTTCCTGTTTGTTTCCTGTCTCTCCTTCAGAGCACCGATGTGTGGAGTCAGCCAAAATACGCAACAAATATCCTGACAGAGTACCGGTGAGTTGTGGGGGAGGGCAGTCACCCAAAACCTGCTAAATTCACATCAGGATTGGGTAAATGTGCAGTCCTCTGGCATTGTTTAAATAAGCAGAGCTGTAGGCCCGTAGCAAGAAGGATGGTCCTTCTCATCTTTAGCCTGGAGGATGCAACATTCACGGTTTCCATAAAGAATTTGAGATTCTGATTGACCAGACCACCATCCATTTTCTTCTGCCTATCCGGGCAGAAAATGACCACAGGACAACTTTCCATTTCTCCTCAGTCTGTCTTAATTAAGTTAGGCCCCAGCAGAGTGCCTAGGTCTGTTCAGTTTGTCTATTTTTTCCATTGACCATGGTTTACTAATGTATTCCTAAGCCCATGCAGTGATTACTATAGAGAGCAATGTCTGTCTCTAATGCAGTAGAACATGAGGACCCCAGAGATCAAAATTTAAAATTAGTTTTCAGCCTTGTCCCTTGTGCAGTGGGATTTTCCCTCCTTTGTCTGAATCCTTTAATGATGTTGTGCGTCACAGACGCAGCGACAACCTGGGCACACTCTACCTCTCGCACTATGGCAGCTGGGATGGGCCACAGTTATGGCTCTGTGACGTTTGGTGTTGCATTCAGCCAGTGAAAATTGCAAATGCAATAAAAACATGCGTGGATAGAAGAAGGACTATCAGCCATGGATTGTGACGCACCTTAAAACCTTACAAGTACCTTGCTGCTGAGGGCGTACTGGTGACATATGTTCTTACAACTTCACTCACAGACATTATTGTAAGGCTAAGCTTAATGGTCAGCCAGAAGCTTTCAGATAGGGAGTGCAGGTGTTTGCTACAGTATTGGGAGATTTGTGGCCCACACACAGCATGACCACAGTGTGTAAGAATGCATTTGTCTGTTAATGTGTGCACTCCAGGTGATAGTGGAGAAGGTTTCTGGCTCTCAGATAGTGGACATAGATAAGAGGAAGTACCTGGTGCCCTCTGACATCACTGTGGCCCAGTTCATGTGGATCATCAGGAAACGCATCCAGCTGCCTTCAGAGAAAGCCATCTTCCTCTTCGTTGACAAAACGGTCCCCCAGTCCAGGTGAGAGTGCGCTGCGTTCTGCAGCAAGTCAGTAGATTTAAAGGTCAAACTCATGAGTGTGCACCACAGAGACCAAAAAACCTTGTGCCAACTCATTCTTCTCGATAATTTTATTGAATGTAAATGTGTTAGATGATTTGAACTTTTTTTGAGTTTAACAATACCTTTGAAATAAATATTTATGCTGTATATTGTTAATATTTACTTTGAATTGCATGAATTGTACTCTGTAGTTGTAGCTTAAGAAAGAAATGTGAGTTACGTTGATTTTTTTAGCATCTGTTCTCCTCACTCAGATGTCTCCTGGGAACCAAGAATTAACTGATTCGAGTTTAGTGGTTTTTGGCCATATCGCCAGAATTCATTACATAGTTACAGCAAAATTTCTGCAATAAATACATAAAAATAAATATGTTTAAAATCTGTTAGCCACATTTTACCCTGGATCAACAGCCTGACGTTATCAAAGCTGTAATGTGCGCACTGTGTGTTACCTAAAATGTGTTTAACCATTCATCTTGTGTAACTGATGAGCAGGATCGTATGTAGAAGTATTTCTTATCCAGCTCCATTTGAGTCTGAAGCTACACTTTCACCTCAATCAAAACTTTCACCAGTTTTAAGATGGAATAAGCTTCATGGTTGTTGTAAGGTTAAGTAAACAAAGAAACTGGAAGCACAGCTGAACTTGGTGTATACAGACAAACATGAACAAGAATAAAAGAGTAATATATTATCATAATTTAAAACACCAAGTAATCCTAATGTTAGCAGCTTTATCAATGGTATGGGTAAACAGTGGAATAGATGGAAATAATAGAGGTAGGTGAATATTATAGAAGGGGTGGGGGCGTCAAGGGTGGATCGATCCAAATATCGGTAGTATCGATACCAGCGCTGGTATTGGTATTGGAGCAATATTAGTGCGATAGCATCGATACTTTGTTTCTCTCCTCTAAGTTCTGTGCGTTGCTCCCATTCACCAGAAAGAAGTCATGTCTGTGTAAACACTGCTCCTCTTTGGACACTTTGCTGTCCTGTGTTTAGTTGCCCTTGGGTCACGTGTCCTACCGGCACTAAACAGCTGTAAATACTAAAAACAGTGATACTGTATGTATTCGAAGAAAATTCTCTTCTGTGGCTACACCATCAACCATAAAAGACCATGAAAAAGCACAAGAAATGAAGAGAGGAGGTAATGTGTATGTAAATTCCTCAAATTGACCCAGACAGACAGAGCTCGCTGTCACAGTCCTTTCAGAGAGGCAAAGAATATCCAGGTAGCTCACGTAGTGGTGAAGCTAATGTTAAATAATTCAGTTCATCAGCGCAACTTAACGTGGACGTGTTATTGTCCACCGTAATTGTTAGTGGTCATTGAATTATGTTCATGATGATTCATCTTATAAATCATGACACATCACTCTCCACCATATATTATTTTTACTATAGTGCTTTGCACTTAAGGTAGATATTGCACAGGGATCAGCAGTTTTCTAGGTGTGAGTGTTGAGTAGCCTGATGGTCGATGGGAAGAAGCTGTTTTATGCTCTTTATGCTCCTGTACTTTCTTTCATAAGGCAGCATGAAAGTCTCTCATCTATTCGTCGTTTATTCAATTAAATCCGGTTTTACTTATATAGCACCAATTTCTAACAAAAGTCACTTCATTGTGCTTCATATTGTGAGGCTAAAACCCTGCATTATTAGAAAGAAACCCCAGCAATCACAAGGGACCCTATCAGGAAGCAGTTGACAAAAGTGGGGAGGGCAAACTCCCTGTTAACAGGAAGAAGTGTCCATCAGAAACAAGTAGGTGCAGCCATCTGCTCTGACTGGTGGAGGCGGGACGGGATGGGATCAGAGAGAGGCGGCTTATCAAAGGAATCTGCTTCTGAGTGCTTTGTAGCACGCTGATACTGCTCTCCTTATTAAAGTCTAGCCACAGCACGTATGCCACCTCTTCACTAACAAAGCAATAATGCTGGAGCCAAATCTAGAACCAGTTCCACAAAAAAGACTGGCTCTGGGACAACGTTTTTTGGCATCGTCTCTACTGATGTGGTTGCTCCAAGTAGTTGTTTAGCAAGAGGATGTCAAAGATGTTTCAGAAGCACAGCTCCTACAGTCCACAGCTTTGATAAATGGAACCAGAAGGAAGAACCACTAGCGGCTCTTTTTTATTTTTAAAACTTAAATTCATTTTTTATGAGGAATTTATTCCACACGTAAATCAGCTGTTGTGAGGAATGTTCATGTTCATGTTGCAAAAACATGCATCTGGCTGTAATCGCTGAGCTCTCAACCTCACGCTCCCATTGAAGGTATTAAACAGACGGCCTGTAGTTTTTATCAGATTTGACAGTGAGTCTAATGAAATTTAGACACACCGACACAGTAGGGCTTAACATTGCTCAGGTCTTTGTCATATTTGACATGACATAACCACTGGTTGCTAAGGAAATGTGCAATGCTAGACTGGTTGGCAGATTTCCCAGGTAATTCTCAGTAATTACTAGTTGTTGTTGTTGTAAAATCGACGCAGTTCCCACCTTTAAAGTAAACGCTGCAGCTAACTTTTACTTTTAAAGGCACACGGTCTGCAGTTCTGCTTCTGCAGTTTAACTTTGAACAGTGTGAAAAGTGCAGGTTTTCTGCAGGCAAACCCATCATTGGTTCCCCACAGAAAACCACGATCTGGGCCTTGAGGGTTAAACTAGGCTAGCCCATAGCAGGTTTGCCCTTTTGGGTTGGCAGTGGGTCTATCCACAGATCTCCCGCATGAACCCTGAGGAGGAACATTTGCTAGAATGATTGTCAAATGCCCAAAACCACAGACAAGTTATCATCACATATCAACTTGTGTCTACAAAATCTCAGTACATGCAGTTAAATCCTGGTACTTAGATTACAGTTTCAAATTACTTTTATATCTGTTCCTCCATTTAAAGGGTGGAGCTGCCCAAATAACTGCTGGGTGGAATTACCAAGGTCACTATAGAGTGGTGAGAGTTGCTTCAAGAAGGATTTTGATATATCTGTGTGTAACCGGTGTGATTCTGCGTTGTGTCTGATAAAAAAGGTAAAAGAAAGAAAGACCTCCAAGTAAATAATTTGCCCACTCCAGCTCCTCTCCCACAGGGGAGTTGTAGAAAAAGGGGTGGCATTTATTTTTACATTAAACATAAAATATGCATTTACACGTAACATATTTGACATAAGATAAAACAAAAACAACATGAAATCTGACATACCTGATAAAAAAGGTAAAAGAAAGAAAGACCTCCAAGTAAATAATTTGCCCACTCCAGCTCCTACGACCAAATACAGACAGTGGGGAAGAGGGTTAGCTCAACCCACCACAGCTCCCAAGCTAGCAAGGAATACATATTCATGCTATCATTTATGGCGCCTAAAACACATTTATGACACACACATACCACACACTTATAACATCTTACAAAAACAGGCTCAATAATGACAATAACTGAATTAAAATCGCAATCATAAACATCAGGGTGGTTAAATATGAATTATGTGTGCTTTAAGGTGCTGGAAAGAAATGACACCCACCTCTCCCACAGGGGAATTGTAGAAAAAGGGGAGAGGCAAAAGGGGTACACTGTATTTATAGTATTGCACCAAAGAAGAAGAAAAGAATGAGGAGGGGCTCTAACTGATAATGAACACAACTACAGGCTTGGAGGTCCTAAAAGTCAGGTATAAAAGGAGAAGTTTGGGGGTTTAGAACACATTTTGTGTAATTATAACAATGTTATTTATGACTCTGTTACATTCACCCCCCAAGAATTACACAAAATCCTAAAGGGTACACCAAAAAAAAAATATATAAACCCACAATAACAGATACAGTGGCCTCAAACAAATTCACATCGCATATACAATGAATTAGATCAGCAACATAGCTTCCTCCAAGGAGGATAAGAGACCTGAGACCTGCTCGGCGCCTAGCAAGATCCCAGGACTTTCTATAGACAAAATGAGGTGCCATTTACACCACACAAAACAGGCCATAATATCTATGGGCGTCACTATCAGACTGCACAGACTGACAAAATACAATGAACTCTGTGCCTGTATTATTCTTTTCCAAAAACAATAGCAATGAAAAACATACAGAAATAAGCAAATTCACACATCAATAACCGCTGCTTGAACAGGTTCAACACCAAGGAGTGTTTCAAGTTGAGCCATTGATTCAATCAAGTGACGAACTGGTTTAATGATTCTACCAAAACGTGTGGTAAGTCCTTGATCCACGTCCACATTTTTGGGTTCAAGAGAATGAAAAGTGTGGGACGGGAAAGCAGCAGGGGAGCCTGGGGAGGCTCCATCACCAGCCAGCCCACCAAGATCAGAAACACCCATTATGGGAGGGGTCCCATGAACGCCATCTTCGACCGGGTCAGCGGCAGATTGCTGATGGATCCATGATAGTGTGCGGTCATCACACTCGCCAATGCTGGAGACGGAATCCACAGTCCAGGTGGCAGGAGGTACAGCTCCTGTGCCCCCAAAAGATGTCACAGACCCATCCAGGTCAGACTCAGCGGGTCCACTGACAACGCTCACAGCAGGATGTGCAGCATCGTCATTCAGTGTTGTGTCCAAGGGCAAAAAGTTAACTTGAAGGAGCAGGTTGCGATGCACCACACGCTCATGACCTTCTTTGTCTCTGATACGGCAGATGTGAAGAGCAGGATCCAAGTCAACTACCGTGTACACAACAGGTTCCCATTTGTCAGAGAGCTTCCTTTTTCCTCTGACTCCCTTGTTTGCCAACAACACCTGGTCCCCTAGTGAAAGAGGCAGACCCTTCACTTTTCTGTTGTACTGGTCAGACTGGTGTCTCTGCTCCATTGTGCTGTGTTCCTGGGCTCGGAGCATGGCAGAGCGCAGGTCATCCATCAGTGACTTGACATAGGTATTATAGTCACAAATGGTGTCATCATGAAGGACATCCCGAAACATGAGGTCAA